GGAAGGAGAGATTGCCAAAGCAAAGCAGGCGTCCACTTAATACTCCTCCTCCCAGTTATTTGCTACTAACTTAATCAAAGCTTAACTTCAAAGCAGCCTGCAGCTGCATTAAAGAGGAAATTGGTCTCTGTCTTTCTCAAAAACAGGCTTGGACCACTGAACTGGAATGAAGCCAAAGACCAAGGGCTTATTGCATGCTTCCCTTCTTATTGGGGTTTAGCATTGTGCCTGCCCATTGGAAGAACTAATGGTGAGCAGCCAGTGTCTCTCCCTATATTACAAGCCCTGCAGGGAAAAGAAAATAAGATAATTGGGAAGGAGCAAGACCGGGTCCCACCATGGATTTAGACTGCACAGACTACGATAATAAGCAGCTTAGCACCTTTGGAAGCTCTCTGGGGAATGGCATTGTACTGTGTGTACTGAGGTTTGTAATGTGCAACTGCTTGCTGCTCAAGCAGGAATGCATTTAGCTCCTGAGTCCTTTCAAAAGTTATTGGTGTCTAATATCTACTTGAATATTCAGGGTCGAGCATCAGAAATCAGTTTTGACCCTGTATTTGATAGGGTCTGGTATGTGGTATTTGATAGCTGCTTTATATCTGAGGGTGTTTTATATCCGATGGTCAGTGATATTCAATACTTGCCTTTCAGTTGTTCCTAGCCTCTATTTTTTAGCCATTGGCGCCTGAATCTGATATTCTGTACCCAGTATGCAATTTGGGCTGCAGTCATATGCATACTCACTGGGAGAGAAGCCCCAGTTAACCAAATAAGGCTGATTTCAGAGTAGATGTGCACAGGATTGTGCTATCATTTTTGTAACCATGTAGAAAAAGAGCCCATGTGAATGGGAATGTGTCTGCAGATAAGCATGCCTCCTATCAGCCCTTTTTGTAAAGCCCTGAGAAATAATGCAAAATGCCTCAATGCAATGGTGCAGCTGGAGTTTGGGGCGGAAGCCCAGGATGCCAGGGTGCCATGTTCCCCAGTGGCCACCTGGAACGTGCCAGCTGACAAGCTGGAAGAGTGGGCAGTGCCCCACCTACTACCCTACATAATACCTGCTGCCCTGGGTTCCTCACAATAGGGGAAAAGTGGGATATAAATGCAATGCAATAACAGCAACAGCCAACACTGTCACTCTGCAACTAGCCTAGCAGAGTTGATGATGGGTGAGCAATCTGGTTTGGGGGTGGGCATCCCCAGGATTTCCACAGCTCAGTTGCCTGGACTCCTGCCCACTTTCTCTTCCCCCAAAGTCTGCCCTGTACTGAGTGTTTGTGGAGGCATCCAGAGGGAAGAGGTTCAAGCGGAGTTCTGCTTCCACATATGTGGCTTTGCACACTTGGCACAAAGAGTTACATATTTGTCATACTTTGCCAAATTTGGCAGAGGCTGCCCACATTCCTGAGCATTTGCGGAGCTCAGCTCAGCTAAGCTCACTTCCTGGCCAGAGCCAAGTGTCAGGATGTGTGAGGACTCCATTTTGGGGGTGGGAAGCCATCAGGTTTCCTGGGCTCAGCCCCTTGAACTCTGATCCACTTTGATGCAGCCATGCCCCCAAGTTCCTGCAAGCACACCCGGCATGCACATGGTGCTCACCAGGTGTGCACACTGTGCTTTGTGCTGCTGGATGTGACATGGGAAGAGGTTGCCCATTGCATTGCCCGCCCTTTGTTCCATGAGCATCCATGAACTTTCTCTCAACTCGGCTCACTTTCCAAGACTTGGCAGAGCATGAGAGGAGGTCCATGAACGCTAGAGGGACGGATTCCATGGGGCTTCAGTGCACCTCTAGCCAAGCATGGGAAAGAAGTCCAGGGAGCTCAAGAAAGCCAGATTCTGGCCGGATCTTCTCATCCCTAAGCGGAGCAGTCCCATTTGTTGTATCAGCCGTTGTCCATTACACTTGTGTTGTATAACTGATGGTACAATGGTTGCACAAGAGATGGTTGCACAAACAAAGTACAAACACTTGCACATGGAAGGACACAGCTGGATCCTGCCCAGAGTCAGTTCCTGGGCCAGCATGGGTGTGCCAGGGCGGACACTGGTATCTGCAACTTATTTTCTTTCTTGTTAATTTTGAAAGAATTTTTCAGTGAGCTGGATGTGTCCATGGTTACAGATGCTATTATTATTAATAATAATAATTTCAAATATATTGGTTTATACACATGAGCACATGCTTGTTTTTGTCAATCAAGGTTGTCAATCCTTTGTTTACCTTTCTCTAACCTATCAAAAGTGGAAAAGCAGTTCTGAAGCATGGAATGTGGGTGCAGGGAGAAGAGAGGTGCGAGTTGTGAGCTTCATAATTAAAGTGTTCTTGCAGGCCACCTCAAGGAACCCCCAGAAGACCATTAAGTTCAGCACCTCAAATTACCCAGCCTTACAAACGCCTCAAGGCACAGAAGGCAGGAATTTGATGCTCGTGAACACCCTGGCAGTCAATCTAAAATTTGCATACAGCGCTGTGGGCAGCAACAGCTGCAGATCGGTGAGCTGCTTTCAGTTCTTCGAGAAATAGCCTTCAAGGGCTAGAAGAAACTGCACCAGCAATTTGATCAGAGACCATGAAGAAGCAGGAAAAGTCAAGTTATATACCATGGACAGCACCAATTTTAAGATAATGAAGGTTTGCTTGGCCTCAACCCAGGAAAAATCTGTTGCACAGAACTAGTTGTGAATAAAGGCCCTTTCATTTCAATTCACCCAACTCAGTTTCTCATGACTGAAACCGGTAACTGGGTTCACACAACACATTAAGCCTGGGTGGTTTATGAGCTATATGGTTCAGCATCTGGTCTGCACTCATTACTCTTTCCTTTGGGTGGTTGTAGAAACCATCCCAACTAGCTAAGGCTTGTAGAAGGGCTTAATAAGCCAACCATGTGTTGTGGTTTATTGTGCTGTTTGAACCCAGGCAACAAAATAAGCCATGGCCAAGTCAAAGACCAGAGAGCCCTTTGGCAAGAGTCACAAAAGGTTGCCTGCTCTAGCTAAGGGACCAGGAGGCAACTGCCTTTCCCAGGCACCCTCAAGAAGCACTTGGTAACAGCTGGAAGAAGTCTCCCCCTTCCTACTAGCAACTGGGGGGGGGGCACCTCATAACTTGGGGAAAAACCAGGCTTGACCCTTTCAATCATAAGCTTCATGTTCCACAACACTGGGATTTCCCTCAGGGTTTTACACTTCCTGAGATGCCATGACCAGAGAGACAATTGTGACTTCCTGTCACCCCTCCCCAACCACCCTCCCCCCGGGGGATCCTGCTTGGAAGAGGAGGAAAATTGATGGTGTGTCCTCTAAAACACTCCTTCTTTGAGGTCCTGGGGGCACAAGAGACCCCTGTGCCTCTGGCTTATCCACACTTGGGAAAGTGAGGGCAGCCAGGACCACTCCATCATGCCCCAAATCCCTTAGGACTCTGCTGCAAAGTGTGCTTTTACATACACTCACTTTTCTAAAAAAGCCAAAAATAGGTAGCAGTGAGCTACAAAGTTGTAATTGTGTCCATGTTAAATTGCACCCTTGTTGCCTACTGCTAATTTAAAAAAAGAAAGAAAAATAAAGGTGGCAGGTAGAAAACATCTTTTGAAAAAGAATCCTCAGTGGTTTGTGGGGGCCTTTATGTGACCCTGGGCTGCCCAAGTGTGGATAAGACAGAGGCACTTTTTTAAAAAGTCAGACTGCACTCAATGGCTCGCTGCAGTTGGGGGGCATTTCGGTGCTCACCGCAGACAGACTGAGCGGCAGAGGGAGGATGAGGCACAGAAGCCCTGCTGAGCCTGATCAGATCACAGATTAATTTTAACCATGGTGCATGTTAAAATTCCCAGGGGGGTTAACGTGCTTTGTGAACTTTGCCACTGTTTGAACACAGCCTAAGAAAGCAAGTCAAACTTATTGTCTGAATACATGTTAATACTTTGTGGAGAATAAGTAACAATGAGAAGGGAAGGAGTTTCTTTTGACTAAATGATTCTAATGTTAATTACTTCGGATATTAATTTTGTTCCATGACAATGCCCAGCTAGAAAAAAAGTTATTTCCATTGTTAACAATTGCACAGTCATCAGAAATTAATCACCCGCATTCTCAAGAGCTAGATTAAGCTGAAATCAAATTAAAACTCTACATTTTAAAATGTACAGTCAATCTATCATACAAAGTAATTGACATTCTTAGCCTTACAAAAAACTACACTGCACTTCTAGTCATTATTTTACAGCCACTGGTGGTTATTATTCATCTTGTAATACTTCTAATATTTGCAATTCCAGCCCTTTTAGAGGTAAGGAGATAGGAACTTATCCATGGGTACCCACACATCCCCTAGCATTTAGTCTTGGATCAGATCCCCTGGATAAATACATGTGTTGGATTGCTTTTGGATTTTCCACGTTGTGATGAAAAGCTTCCAATCAACAATACTGGAACGATCCAAAGTGTGCAATCAAAACATGTGAGCTATATGGAGTTGTCAGAATTGTCTCAGCCTGGAGAAATGTGCTTTATGAATGTTCATGAGGCAACCAGAGATGGCGGAGCTGCTGTGCCTCCCATTTGTGCTTCCTGGCGCTTTGGTCTGCCCTTCTGCCTCTTCTTGCAGTGAGCGATACTGAAGCCTTGCTCATGAAAAGGAAGACCATAGGAGGAAAAGAGGGAGGCATGCAACCAGCAATCTGCCACAGCGTCCTTACCCTCCAAGGTAATATCCGATTCTCTGGTTCCAAGGAACAGAGCATCTTATGAACAGCAATTCATGCAGGACCATCTAATGATCTAAGCTGTGCTCCTGATCTCATCACGAGCTGCACACAGGCCTGTGGTCAGAATCAGTGTGCGGAGAAATGGGGCCATGTGGCATTTGGATTAATCAGACCTTTATAAAGGTGAACTGCCTGTACAGAAATAGATTTTGCTTAGCTGACTTCTTGAGCCTAGAGGGAGAGGATCTCATATTAAGTGAATCCCAAATTGACATTTCAGACCTGCTGGTACTAACCTGTCCGTAGGGAAATGCACCTCTTCCCCTTTCCTGAAGTCCGTGCTATTTTCCAGCCTGGCTAGCACATCCATCCTCTTCACCATCACCTCCAGCATATCACTCATTTTCCTCAGCACCCCTCTGGACTCCAGGGCACCCATCACTGCAGCCACACAAAAAAGCAAGAGAAAGAGAAAGGAATGGCATTCAACTGTGGCGCTCAATAGGCAGCAGAAATGCATTCAGACAGACTTGCAGGACAGGACATGGACCCAGCTGAGCAGAAGGAGCTGAAGGCTTGACATGCAGCAGGGCCAGCTGCCCCCCTGCTGAGGCAAGTGACGTGATCAACATTTTCATCTAGAGGAACCCCCCTAAGACCATTAAGAAGAATCAAGAATTACCTAAATGTGTTGCTGACTTGCAGACAGGAATGAGGAGCACTGATTATTGTAAAGAGAATCATAGTGAGCTGGCAGAATGCACGAAGGCAGTTCAATAATTACAGACAGTGTTCGAAACTGGGGTCCATCACTCCTTGCCTATTTGCTCCTGGAGGCCCGTGCTTTGAATGTGAATAACATAATATGTAAACAATATTGTTCAAAACACCACTATCACCAGTGATACAGCATGGCCAGCATTTAGGCTGCAGACACTTGCCTAGGAGTAAATTCCACTAAACTCAGTGGGAGTTACTGCTGAGTAGACACACTTAGGATCACATCACAAATATTATCAACTTCTATTGCTTAATATTTTACAATGAGATTCTTTAGCAAGATGACTGAAAATCTGTTAATACAGAATCCACTAAATTATGGGCTGGTTCGGAGTTAATGTACTGATACCCTAAGCTGCTGACCAATGCGCCTCACCTGACATGATTTACCCTGGTCCTACTTAGTTGTTATTTTTAGCATTCTTCTGTCTTATTTAGTTCCATCTCAAGGTAAACAACCTTTCATCTGCATATATTTAAAAGAAGAAATGCACTTGGTTTACTTGGAGAAGTAGCAATTTTAGCTTTAAGTGCTGAAATCAGCTCTAGCTTTAATTCTAACTTGAGCACTGAAATTTGATCATCATCTCAGGAGCAACTTTTTTGGAGGATCAAGTGTGAGATAGGGTGACCTGATGCAAGGGAGGGCTGTCCTCAAGTAGCTTTCACAGCTGTGTAGAAGAATAGGTTTTGGCAAATGTGGTTTGTCATGGGAGAGTAGAAAGCATAGATTAACTTAGCATAGATTCCTAAACCAATATTAGAATTTCAAGAAGGCAAACCCGATCCAGAATGTTTCCCTGGTGGATCAGAAAACCTGACATTGCCCTATGGCTTAGAAAATTCCCTATCAGAGTCACACCCTACAGCGGCTCCTTCTCTCCTCACTTCTTTTCATTTGCGATATAAATTCATGCACAGCAGTGTCTACTGAGTGATCAACTGATGACAAGACCAGCCCATAGTTATCCAATAGCTGTGTTCAGACATAACAGCAGCAATTCATCAGTTAATTAGAACAAGCCATGGGCTAACTTGGGCTTGTTTAATCCACAAACCACCCCATGCTGGCTGGTAAATGGTGGGAGGTGTAGGGTTTCTTCAGTCTAAACAAGTACAGGGTTTCACCCTTACTTATTCAATTTATCTTCTCTATTCCACTCCTGTGGATTCCTTTAAAGTGATTTTCATTTTCAAAGCAGCAGGAGGTTGGAGGACAAAAAAGCAATCTGAGCCTTACTGACACACGAGTTCTGCAGTGCATGTTTTGTAAGTGCTGAGCACAGATCTGCAATCTGGAATGGAATCTGTGGGTATCCCAAGATCCCAGGATTAGGGGAAGAAGCTCTGTCCACTCACTGTTTGATTTAGAGGACTTACGGAATCACAATTCAGAGCAGTGTCCCCCACAACCCCCATCTCAGCATTATGGTTTACATGAAATTTGATTTCCAGCTTATTTCCTGGGAAGGTTTCTGTGCCTTTAACAGCGCATGCACATGCGCGCACACACACACAGAGACACCTTTACCAAAAAAAATTCTCAGAGTACTGTCTGCCTGTCATGAAGCAGTTATGCACACAGGAACTCTTCCAGAAACTTCATGGCTATCCAAACAAGAATATGCAATAACAACACAGCTAGGCAAACCCTTTGAGTCTGCAAGCATATTTGGCAATTTGAGAAACTGCCACGGGCTCAAGCATAAACTGGTTGCCGTGGGAAGTATAGCTAGCCAGACAGAGCAACAGAGAAGGCTGGGGTCTCCTGAGTCAGTGGGTCCCTCATCCACTGCAGCCTTTCTTTTCAGCCTTATAGATTCCATCCATGGTGCTCCACGGTCATAAATCTATTGGGCAAGGAGCTCAGAACTATGGATGACTCCTAAAAAGCTGAAAAGAAAGGCTGCGAAATATGAGGTACCCTACTGACACAGGAGTCACTGGCATCCCCTAAAGACTAAGCAACCTACTCAAATTAACCAACCCAAAGGACTGCTCAAAGCAGAGATGGGGACCAAGCCACAAAAGGCCAAACAACTCCTCTGAACCCACAGCTTCCAGTGCGAACAGAAACCTATGTGACAGAATCATTCCAGCACCCACCATCTCTTTCTCTCACTCTCTCCTGCGCAGGCCTGCTCTCTCATCTTCAGGTTCCTAAGAATATCTCTGGCCACCAGCATGGATCCCAAAGGCATTCGCTTTGCTCTGATGAGGTCTCAGGGGCTAATAACACCAGGCTTTTTAAAAATGAAGTAAAATTTGCAGGTATGGACGTATGACACTGAAACACTCATTCTGATTGAGTGTGATGAAGTTTTTACACATTTCTAACCTGGTGTCCAAAAGCAGACCAGGTTGGTTATTTGTTTTCAATGTCCATGAAATCACTAGAAATATTTGTACAAATCTGGAGCTGAGAACAGCATTTCTCTAGTACTACTGGCATAAATTTGTACAATTTTCATCAGATTCAAGTTGCTGTACTTGACTTTATCTGGCATGAGTCTGACAACACTGGGGCAGGGCTGATGGAATGGAATTCACAGGGATGAGCCAAGGGAAAAGCAGTCAGATATTCTCACACACACACTCTTTCAGTTTCCTCACACACCCCTAGGGGCAGAACACCCTGGTGCCACCAGGAAAGGTATGCAGGGTGCGTGCTGTGATAAACTCATATCTGGACCACTGCAGAGCTCCCTTTGGAAATGGTTTGAACAATTCAGGACTGGCCAAAGTGATCATATGCCAGCATTTCCCATCTGCACAGGCTTCAAATTGGACCCGACTCAAAGTGCAGGTGCTAACGTTCAAAGCCCAGCATGGTCTGAGGCCAGGTCCCATGGAGAATCATCTCCTCCTAGATCCTAAGTTCACCTCCAGCAGGCATTATCAGAGGGCCCTCGCCTCTCTTATTGCATGTGAGGCACCTCCAAACAGGCTTCAACCTCAGGTAGTTAAAACTTGCCCACACACCTTAAAGGTGAGAAGGATGCACTAGTGTCAGTGGCTGCCCTGGAAGCTGGAAACCTTGCAAAGGGTCAACAAATCTAAGATCACCCAAGGATACCTCCTATTCAAGACCGCCTGTGCCTCTGTGGGCAACCTAGAAGCCTGTTAGGACTCAGTGTGGTGTAGTGGTTAAGAGCATGGGACTGGGACTCAGAGGATCTGGGTTCTAGTCCCCACTCAGCCATGGAGCCAACTGGGTGACTCTGGGCCAGTCACAGACTCTCAGCCCAACCTACCTCACAGGGTTGTTGTTGTGGGGATAAGATGAAGGAGGAGATGCAAGCTGCCTTGAGCCCTTTGTAGGAAAAAGGCAGGATATAAATCGAAAAATAATAAAAAAATAAAAAATGAACAATCTAGAGCTAGTGGTCCATTGAGGCTGGTTTAGCTAAGCCGCACTCTATCATTTGGATGCCTCAGGATACTCATAAGTTTATCCATGAAACTGTTTCCCTTCAACCTTTTCCCACTGGATCGGCCTGGAAGCTAAATAAAGCCAAGCAGCCCAATTCAAAATAAGTATCCCCTTTCCGCTTGATAGGATAGAGTAAGCAAAAGTTCCCTCCTGAGGCCCATCGGGACAAGGGACCAAAAACAATTCCAGCCAGGCCTTGGCGGGCAACCAGCAACTACCCTAAACAGCCTTGAATACTGCTGGCTGCCAAGGGAGGACCAAAGGTCATGTGGCAGGAGAAAGAGCACTCTTGAACGAGCAGGGTCGCACGATGCTCCCACTGGCTAGACCAAAGACCAGCTTGCACCAAGGGCCAGCCAAGCCCATATATCCCCACTTGTGCCCCGGCAACTCCATGGGTGGGGGAGCACAGCACCTCCCCACCCACTGATTCAGCCCTCAAATGCGTAAACAAATCAGAAATGGAAGTAAATTCTCCTGGCAAGCCTTCATATAAAGAGCCCCTAGGTCTCTCAAGGGGTTGCTCATACATTAATTTTTATTTGTATCTTGCCTTAAGCTATCCTAGACATTCAGGGACAAAGAAATCATGTTGAATTAATCACAATGCAATACAGAATAAAATGCACCTCAATGAATGCTTGAAGACTAAATGAGATACTAGGAAAATAAAAGCAGCAGCAAGAGGGCAAAGGTAAGGAATTAATGGAAATAGTCACAAAAGATATATGTATCTCATGCTTAAAAGGCAGCATAGATATTATGCCCTCTGTACCAAAACCCTCTCAGAAGAGGGAATTCTAGGAACATAGGCATTTCTGGTTTCTTTGAAACTGGGATACTGGAGACTGGCAGGCATTTTTGTGATATAATTTGTGGTGAGGGACTTAGAATTGGTCTCTTTGCCATGGCCAGATCACAGCCTGTTGAGATTTAGACTAATGGTGACTTTTCCCCTCTGCAAGGGTGAGGGACTGTTAAGATGGTCCACCCCTAGAAACTAAAGGATCAGCACAGTTTCCAGGCGGCCATTGGGGATTTTCCAGCTGATAAGGCCAGCAACTCTGTCAAATCCCTGGCTGATCTCTGGAAAACAGAAAGGACCTCGGCAGTTGCCACGATCACCCTTGGGTGCCCCGTCTGTCATGGAACTCGGACAGTGCCACATCGTACCTCAGAGCCAAGAGCAATGAAACAATACAGGGAAAGGCTACAGTGCAGGCTGAGG